AAAGAAATATCACTCGATCATATCATTAAGTGGCAAGTAGGTGTGTCTTAGAGTGGAAAATTTCTTAAACCCAAACGATCGCACCACATAATTGTTCATCTATCAATATATAAGGCCATCTCCAACCAACATGCCCAAAGGGCCACAGGGCTAAAAATAGCCCGTTTTAACACATAAATCTTCCCTAACCAAGGGTTAGGTCAAAGGGCTCGTGGTCCTCACTCAGCCGAAAATGGGAGAACGGACAAAGAGCTGGCCAAAAGCAGCTAGCCCGCAAGCCCTAAAGCCCAGCCCTCCAGCGCCATAATGTCAAGCCTAACATTTTGCCAGCCTTACCATTTTGCCGACCCTCCAATGCCAGAATGTCAAGTTTGACATTTTGCTAGCCTTCCAGCTTAGCCCGTTTGAATGCCAACGGTTACCTGGCGTCAGCATGATGCCAGCTAGCAACGGCTAGCTGACGTCATGTTACTGTTGGAATTTGATTTTTTTCCTATAAATACCTAAGTCATTCCTACATCATTTCTTACATACTTTTCACCATTTGGTCCATTCCATACTATCTTACCTTATTTTATTTTAATTTTTCACATTCTATTCCCTTACCTCTTCCAATAATATTTCCTTTAATTTTTTCAATAATTTTCAAATGATCACATCTGCAATGAAAGGAAGGGCATGGACCCAAAAAGAAGATGAAGATCTTTGCAAGGCTTATAGATGGGTATTAGAAAATAATGTCAAGGGTAGTTCTCAAACAAGTCAAGGTGTTTGGAGGTGTGTGAATTCTACCCCAATATCTAGCCAATTTATCAACATTGGAAGCTAAAGATAAGAAGTGCCACATAGATAAGAATCATATCTAAAATTTGCACAACCAATTACATCTCGACACGTGACACTCAAAATCCTATTAAAAAAATTATTAAGATTACATAAAGATAAGAAATCTGGAGAGCTACTCACTTTAGCGACACGTGTCACTCAAAATCCTATCCGAAAAATTATTGAGATTACATAAATATAATAAATATGAAGAGTTACTCACGTTAGCGACACGTGTCACTCGAAATCCTATCCGAAAAATTATTAAGATGACAAAAAGATAGGAAATCTGGAAGCTTATTCATTTGGCGACAAATTGTACTCAAAATATGTCCAAAACCCTTATTTTAATATGGTAGTTTAATTTAAGTAACCATATTAATTTAATTAAAATAATAAATTATGTTTGGTCTATGATCTTTTGACCCCCTCGGTTAGAGATGAAATAAAATATGGTCTGACACTGTTAATTAAAATATAATTTCTTGCAAGATCATAGGGTTAAAGGGAGCCATTTAGCCCTCATTCGGTTGGAGATGACCTACAACTACTCTATCTATTTTGATCCCTTCCAACCCCCTTCTTCCAATCCCACCTTCTTAGTCTGGTACCAATACTACTGTCTTGTGTCAGGTTATCATACTAAGACGTTCGAACTAAAGAATTTCTCAGATTAGATGTTTTCTTTCTCTTCCAAAACGGTTTATGTTGAAATGAAACATGTAGCCATGCAAATATTGTAGTTGACTTTGGTTTTCCCATATACTTTGTAAATAGGGTTCTATACTATACTTACACAAATTTGATGCAAATTAACAATTACTTTATTCAACAAAAATAAGTAAATAAATAAATAAGGTTCTTGTGTTCTTGCTATCTGGTTGGTGAGTACTGATCTAGTTGTGGGAGCAGCTGGTCAGCACTCAATTCTTATAGATTTGAATCACAGATGGTAACAAAACAATCACTCCAACAAGATAAATATAATATACATAAATTGAAATTTAGCACCCCCAAATCCATTGAATCTAATTTTTGTTCCAATGAATTAAATTTCAACATATCTGCCCTCTATTCTTCTTCTTGTAAAACATATAATTCTTTTTATTCTTATTTTTTTGTCAAACGATAGATATGTTAGATTAGAGAGCCGACAAAGTTTGAACTCACATCGTGGTGCAAAACCAATACTCTTCTCCACCACTGTGGTTGAGGGCCATTTGTGATATTTCTTTCTATTCTAATGACACAATTATTTGTTAAGAAAATATATGATTAACTAATTTACCTCCTTTTCAAATCACCTAAATTTCAAAGGTGTAAAACTCAACCCCATGGACTTACATTCACAGGAAGCCATTTTCACACCCACTTTTTTTTACGTACTCTTGTTCATTTATATCATTCAAATCAAATAAATCAAAGGAGAACAAGGAACTTGAATATTCAAACTTTAGAGAGAAAATATTCTTTTTTTTCCTTTAAAAGAAAAAGTACAATAAGAATAAATATTATTAACTGACTTTAAAGTACAAACTTAAATTATATTGAAACTCTAATCAAAGGTAAAAGATGTGTAATCCTCCATTTTTTTTTTTTTAAACAAACGACATTATATACACTAAAGAAGAGAGGTGAGCTTAACATCACAATTGACTAGCAATAATGTGGTTCAAATTCGCCTTTTAGCGAGAATCAAACTTACAACCTTTCACTTAAAAGTGAATATGAATACTACTAGACTGTAATACTAAGTTGGCTCCTCCAATTTTTCTTTAATAGTCCAATACTACTAAATGGTTAGAAATAAATAATAAAGATTGTCTCTAAAAATAAAAATTATTTAAAAGACGGACTGCTAAAGAAAAACCCTTAATCCTCACCAACAACCTCTTATCTCAACCAAACCAAATAGCAAGCCACCACCACCAACCACCCACCCCCAAAAAGGTCACATTTTGTATATCCAAAGCATAAACCTTTGAAAATACAAAAAAACAGAGCTCACAAGAAAGCAGAGGAAACGAACAAACAAAAAACAGAGCGACCAAAACCCACCTCTAATTTCCTCTCCAATTCTCCTTCTTCTATCTTCCTCTCCTGCACTCACCGCTTCTTCAATGGCTTCCTCCTCCCTATCCCTCCTCTCCCCACACAATGCCTCCACCGCCACCCACCTTTTCCTGCGCACCCCCAAATCCCCTAACATGCGCTCGCCTTCTTCCTACAGACCCATGTCCGTCAAAGCCCGCACGGTCCCCGCCCTCACTCAAGACGACCTCAAGAAGCTAGCCGCCGACAAGGCCGTCGAGTACGTCAAATCAGGTATGGTCCTCGGCCTCGGAACCGGCTCCACTGCCGCCTTCGTGGTCTCCAAGCTCGGGGAGCTTCTCAAATCCGGCGAATTGAAGGACATCGTCGGAGTCCCGACTTCCAAGCGCACGGAGGACCAAGCTCGCCAGTTGGGTATTCCCCTTTCGGTGCTCGACGACCACCCGAAGATCGATTTGGCGATCGACGGCGCCGATGAGGTCGACCCAAATCTCGATTTGGTCAAAGGGCGCGGCGGAGCTTTGCTGAGGGAGAAGATGGTGGAGGCGGCGTCGGAGAAGTTTGTGGTGGTGGCGGATGAGACGAAGCTGGTGACTGGGCTCGGCGGAAGCGGGCTGGCAATGCCGGTGGAGGTGGTGCAGTTCTGCTGGAAGTACAACTTGGTGAGGCTTCAGGAGCTGTTTAAGGAAGAAGGGGTGGAGGCGAAATTGAGGATCGACGGCGACGGGAAGCCTTATGTGACTGATAACTTCAATTACATTGTGGATTTGTACTTCCAGACTCCGATTAAAGACGGGCCGGCGGCAGGAAAGGAGATTTTGAAATTTGAAGGGGTTGTGGAACATGGGTTGTTCTTGGACATGGCGACGGCGGTGATCATAGCCGGCACGGATGGAGTGGATGTGAAGACCAAGTGATTGGCTTTTTCGGGTTCTCCGGTGGTGGTGAGTATTTGGAATCTCCTTCAGTACTCTGTTTTTTTCCATATTTTTGGGGGGTTTTGGTACTTGCTGCTTGTTGTTCAGTATTTACTGGTGAAATTGAGCTGCTTTGGTGTAATTTTAGATTGGTGATATGGGAAATTTGTCGAAAATTCTGCATTCGATAGTCTTATTGTCTGTTGAGCATTGCGGTTTCGACCAGTGGTATACTAATGATACTAAAGAATGATGGAATTGTGAATTGTGAAATGAATTACCTTCGTGCTTCTGCGATTTTCAGTCACCCGAATGGACCTCGTTATTGTCTTAGATTCTTAGCACACACTTCTGCTATTATATTTTTAGTTATTGGCAGTCCCGTTTCTGTATAATTTTAGGAGAGTATACTGAGAACTGACTCCATCAACTGTAACCCACACTTTTCTTGAGGCTTTCGAGGGTCAAGTGATTCCCGCGTTTCAGTTTGTCTTCCAGAATAGGTAAAATTTCAACAACGTTTCTTTTGAACTGATATTTAAACTTGGTAGCTTTTTGTGATCAATGTTACTCGAAAATGAACTGAGTATCGATCGGTGAACCACTTATATTAGTGGTTAATGGCTCTCTCTTTGCAATGGCATCTTAAAAAGTTATGGAGTAAACGCTCAATGGTACTCCTGTACTCAATGCTTGGATTACCATGTGTTACCAGTTAACTTGAAGCCTAAACCATACAGAACCTGCAATATGATTTCGGTTGCAACCTGAGTGGCGTATTTATAACTTGATCATGTTATTGGTTGTGTTCTGTTTATGTTGATGGCATCTGTTCTTCTAATTGTCTGGTGATGGCAGGTTTGATCAACGTGTAAAAGCTTTTCCATTGTTTTGGAAGTGTTCTAATGAAATTCTTGATTCGTGTAAGACTTCTTTGTCTTCATTTCTTATGCTGATTGCATCAGTTCTAATTGTTTCACGAGGGTGGATTTTATCGACTTGTAAAATCTTTTCCTTTGTAGCGGAAAGTTGATTTGCTTATGATGTCAAGAAATCTATATCTAACCGGTGTATGTTAGTGTCTGTGTCTGTGTCTGTGTAGCTTAGAAAGCCATACAATAGTTGTCGAAAATCTGCTCTGTCAATGATAGATGGTTCATAAAATTACTGTATTCGTAAAAATCTGTATACAAATTCAGTATATGAGAGTCATCGGGCTATGACCGTGTGTCGTTTTATTTAAGCAAACTGACTTTATACAAACTGATGAACTGGGGAAACATCAAAGCAATGTTACAACGAAAAAATGAATCTGAAGTGATTGAAACTAAAGTATGATCAAACAAGAACAAATGTGATGCAGAATCTCGACTGTGGCGGTTTCTTGCACCCTACTTCCTCAGAATCAAACCCACAGACAGCATCACTACGGCCATCAACTGGAACTTTCCGGGCAAAAACGACGTAGCTGGAAAACGAGAGGAACCAAAAAAAAAAAAAAAAAAAAAAAAAAAAAGAAAGGTCAACATATTGTGTCATTTGTGTGCTCAACATGGCTGAGTTGTAGATTTTATGCTATTTTTTCAAAGTCAATTGCGTAGAGATGTAAACTTTTGAAACCTGAAGCCCCTTGACAAAGTCTTAATCCTTCTTGTTAAGCAAGTTAATTAGAAAATTAATCTAAAAACAACATGGTTATCGTACGAGCTTTTAATTAGTTTGCCTTCACATTAAGTTTAAAATTCGGTAACCCAAAACGAAGAACAAACAATCTCACCTTCACTATTGTCCGTGGAGGAATTTGAGTTTGCAACCTTAATTCCGAGGCTCGCGCAGTCAGCCTGAAGCGCGCCTGAAAGATTACGAAAAGATTAGAGCTCCCAGTACTTTCTCCAGCTTCTTGAAATTTGTTAAGTATGTTCTAAACCAGGATTAAAACAAGTTTATTTAGTGTTCTTACATTGATAGTAGCAGGGAAAAGCCGCGACATCGAGAAGATTAGTGGCGCTGGATTTGCATTCACAGAAGGGTGTGTAATGGTATGTGCTGTTCCTTACGCATGTACCTTCTCCGCAGTAAGCATAGTAACAAGCTGTTTAACACCCGAAAATACGTGTTATTAGTAAAAAGAAGCGAGTGATTAATTTAATTGTGGATTAACGGATGAGATGATCGAGCTGGTTTAGTGGTAATTACGATCAAAGGCGGATCTATTGTTAGGAACATCATTCTGAGTAACTGGAGGTGGAGCTGGCTGGCAGTTGTAGTTCAGTGAGCCTGCAAAAACACGAAAATTAGAATCGATCGATCATGAGTGATATCCTGCAAAACGTAATCTCGCTTCTGAAGATTTTATTTGAGAGGGAGAGGATTAGAGCTTACAGTTGGGGATGACACAGGGGAGAAACTCCATATCATCATCACCGTCACGCGTTCGCTTCCAGTTAGCGTCGCACTGGCAGGTGTAACCTAATGGTTTGGTTAAATCGGCTTTGCATGTTCCCTTTCCACACTCAATTTGGTCACATATTTGAGCTGCAACAAGAAGATGTGTAAGAAGAAGGAAACCAACTAAACATCTTCGCTTTGTTCGTCGAGCTTATGTGAGTTACAGACAAAGTTTAAAAAAAATATGTTTCGGAAGGAAAATGAAGTGCTTACCGCCAATAGTATTGTTATTCGGCAAGTCCCAGGCGAAAGCAGTGATGGGCAGCGCTATCAGAAGCACAGCTAAAAAGGCCATGGAGTTAGAGAAAGCCATTTGTATCAGTTTTTTAGAGAGAGAGAGAGAGAGAGAGAGAGGGAGGTTTATGTGAAGATGTGAAGGGGATGTTGTTTCTGATGATGGTAGGCTACATATGTATATAAAGTTTGAAGGGGTTTGAAGATTTCTTAGCACCCAAACAAAGAAAATAAAAGAATTAATTATGTACTAAATCAACACGCTTATGAGCATAATTAATATGAGATTAAGACTGAAAATTTGTGAAGGTATCAAAGTGGAAGAGAAGCTTCCGATGGCGGCCTGGTCTGTCGACTGGAAGAAGGTTCCATAATTTCAAAAAAAAACGTGAAGAGGGGTTATAATTGCCAATTGCTCACGTTAAAGTAATCTTCAATAAAATGGGATTTTTTTTCTTTGGGTCCACCTGGGATTTGCCAAAGTCAACACGTACTAGATACAACTTGAACAAAGAATCATTCAGGTTTTGATCTCCAAGTTTATGGAGATAATCACCTTTCAAATTCTACTATTTGATGACAACAAAAAAACCATAGAGTTTGGTAATTATGAGAGGCTGGTCCGAACGGATGATAATCGAATACAAGACCTGTTAACTTTGAGTTGTATCATAAAATCAACAAGTCACAAGAATTATATGTAATTATGAGATGTTGATCTAACCGGGTGTCAATCAAATTGCATGAATTTAAAAAACTTTTGTTCGTATTATATCATTTGATCTACGTAACAGAATTGATAACATTCAAAATTATGCAGGATTATATCCTCTTTTGGCTCTCTTTAGCCCTATGTCTCTTATCTTTAGGTGGTCTTCCTCCACTAGCAGGTATTTTAAGATAACTTCATTTATTCTTGTGTGGATAGAAGGCATGCTTATATGTCTTAGTTTCAATAGACTCCTTACAAACGCTATTTCTATTTACTATTATCTAAAATTAATCAAGTTATTAAAGATTAGACAAAACAAAGACTTAGTGATCTTTAGTTGTATCATAAAACCAACAAGTTATATGAATTTTCAATAATTATGAGATGTTGGTTGACTTTGGTGCCAATTAAATTCAAAACCCGTTAATAATTGTACCACAAAATCATATTATATTTTCTGTTTAGTATTATAGTGTAGTGGGCAAATGTATTGTTGTACAGAACAATAAGTATGATTAAAGATGACCTAATCCTAATCGTATTTTACTATAAATTACATAACTAAACTTGATTAAAGTTCCTTTCTTGCCTTTTGCACAGAAAGACATGTTCTAAATTCAACAAGGTGTGCAAAATTCAAAAGGGGATGTTGTAATTCTAGAAGAGTGAGATGTGGAAGAAGTTTAGGCCCCCAACAAAGTCAACATATCCCTTTTAAACCGTCTCTTACTTAACCAAATTTTGCGCTTCACGTCCCTTCTCTCCTCCCTTTCCTCTCTCCTCTGACTTCTACTTTCCAAACCCAAAATTCTAAGAGGTGAATTGTCTGTCCTTCCATTTTTATATTCTTTTCATACCCTCCTATGCGATCACGGTTAAGTCACGTTAATATTTTATATTAATTTTTTATAGAAATAATAAAATAAAAAGTAATAGGACTATAAAATGTTGACGTGGCTTAACCGTGACCACACAAATACGAGGGCATGGGGAGAGCATGGAAATGGGAGGTTATACAATCCACCTCCAAACTCCACCTCCCCTCACTTTTTTCCTCTACCTCCCTTCCTCGTAATCCATCCCCACCCCATCTTTTGTTCTGATTTGTGGACTCCATTATTCGGATATGGTTGTCAGCTTTATTTTCCTCCCTCACTTTCCCTTACCTAACCAGCACACCGAAATTCCCTCGAGGCCAAGTGTTCTGCAGCTATAACCAAACTAAGGGTATTTTACATATCCTTAGCCTCACCTTCTATCTATGTGTTACTGTGTTTGTATATATTTGCAGGAATTAGTAAATGAGATTTGAATCTGGTGACTATCTCTTGATGTGCATTTGGTTGCAGGTTTGGTACTTTTGTGCGGTGTTATTTTGGTCGATTTCACCACTCGGTGTTAGCCTGTAACCTTATTTCGGATTAATGAAATTTACTTTTTAGGACTAAAAAAAAAAAAAAAAAAAAAAAAAAAAATGAAACCGAGGAAGGCATTTTCCAAAGGTTTAGGCCAAAACAAAAGGAAAGATGTCAACATATGGATGGTTCATAAAAATCTGTATACAAGTGCAATATATAACAGTCATCGGGCTATGACCTTGCGTCGATTTATTTACACAAACTGACTTTATACAAACTGATGAACTGGGGAAACATCAAAGTAATGTTACAACAAAAAAATGAATGTGAAGTGAGTGAAACTATAGTATGATCAAACAAGAACAAATGTAATGCACAATCTCGGCCGTGGCGGTTTCTTGCACCCTACTTCCTCAGAATCAGACCCACAGACACCATCGCTACGGCCATCAACTGGAATTTTCCGGGCAAAAACGACGTAGCTGGAAAACGAGAGGAAAAAAGGAAAAAACAAAAAGGTCAACATATTGTGTTATTTGTGTGCTCAACATGACTGAGTTGTAGATTTTACGCTTTATTTTCATAGTTAATTACGAAGAGATGTAAACTTTTGAAACCTCAAGCCCCTTGACCAAGTCTTGATCTTTATTGTCAAGCAAATTAATTAAAAATTTAATCTAAAAATGACATGGTTATCGAACGAGCTTTTAATTAGTTTGCCTTAAGATTAAGTTCAAAATTTGATAACCCAAAAAGAACAAACAAATTTCAGTCTCACCTTGACTACTGTTATTCACAGAGCCAGTAGGGGAGGAACTTGCGTTTGCAACCTTAATTCCGAGGCTCGCACAGTCACTCTGAAGCGTGCCTGAAAGATTACAAAAAAAATAGAGTTCCTGTCACTTGTTCCAGCTTCTCGAAAGTTTGTTAATTATGTTTTAAATCAGAATTAAAACAAGTAATTAGTTAGAGTTCATACATTGATTGTAGCAGGGGAATAATGTGACATTGAGAAGATTAGAGGCGCCGGATTTGCATTCACATATGGGGGTGTAATGGTATGTACTGTTCCTTACGCAGTTACCTTCTCCGCAGTAAGCCCAGTAACAAGCTGTTTAAACCCCAAAATTTTGAGTTATTAGTAACAATAACCAAGTGATTAATTTAATCATGTGAATTAATGGATGAGATAATTGAGCTGGCTTTGTGGTAATTACGATCAAAGGCTGACAAATTGCGAGGGGCTTCTTTCTGAGGAACTGGAGGTGGAGCGGGCTGGCAGTTGTAGTTCAGTGTGCCTGCGAAAGACGAAAAATTAGAATCGATCCTAAGTGACATCCTGCAAAACGGAATCTCGCTCCTCAAGTTTTATTCGAAAGGGAGAGAATTAGAGCTTACAGTTGGGGATGACACAGGGGAGAAACTTCATATCATCGTCACCATCACGCGTTCGCTTCCAGTTAGGGTCGCACTCGCAAGTGAAACCTAATGGTTCGTTTATATCAAACTTGCATGTTCCCTTTCCACACTCAACTTGATCACATATTTGAGCTGTAACAAGAAGAAGATGCGTAAGAAGAAAGAAACCAACATATAAATATATAAGGGAGACTTTAGATGCAGTTCTTAGTTATGAATATTCTTTGATTGAAACCTTGTTGATTTTTAATTTTTGATCAAGGTCCTTAAAATTAATGTGATAATTTATTTCTATGTACGTTACTATATTTTTTTAAATTAAAAATTAGAAATTTTAGTTGTTTATATAAATGAGATTTTAAATAAAAAAACCATAACTTGTGGGATTAAAAATATTAAAATAAAAATATACTATTGTGTGTGTATATAAACATGGGTACAGTCATCAAAATTAACCAAAAAATTAATTGTATCAAAACATGGGTACATTCTTCAAAATCACAAAAAAAAAAAAAAAAAAAAAAAGAGATAGTAGGCTTAATAACATTACTAAATTTCTTCGATTAAACTTGACATGGATACATTTTAAAATCCATGAAAAAAGAATGTACCCATATAAATTTAAAAATGGATTAGAAAAAATTGAATAGATTTTATATAAAAAAAATTGTACATTTTACATATAACAAATTGGTATATTTAAGAATGAGTACATTTTAAGATTAAAAAGTTTTACATGAATGGGTACATATAATTAGCATGGGTACATTTAGCAAAAATAAAAAGTGCAAATAATATATATATATATGGGTACAAATACAAATAAACTTTAAAAAATATGGGCACAAAAAGAAATTAATATATGGGTACAAATTAAAACTGAAAAGAAAATTGGTACAAATTAAAAAATAATTACAATTAAAAACAGGTACAAACTAAAACTACAAATATATGATAAAAAATTTAGTCATAAGTGCAAATATACTAATTGTAACATTTTTAACATTAAATGAATATATTTAGAAATAAAAACATATTTTATTATTGAAATAATTAATGATGTTATTAATACCCAAGGACTTTGATCAAAAATTGAAAATGAATAGGATTTTAATCAATGGAGTAGTAAAAGGAATGATGAGAACCTAATTTCTCCTATATATAAAGAGACTATATCTGTCGTTCATAAACTTCTTCTCTTTGTTTGTCGAGCCTATAGTGAGTTACAGACAAAGTTTGAAAAAAATTCTGTTTCGGAGATAAAATGAAGTGCTTACCGGCAATAGTAGGAGCTAAGTTATACGGCCAGTCCGCGAAAGCAGCGATGGGCAGCGCTACCAGAAGCACAGCTAAAAAGGCTATGGACTTAGAGAAAGCCATTTGTATCAGTTTTTCAAATAGAGAGAGAGAGAGAGAGAGAGAGAGATGGCGGGAGAGGGAGGGAGGGAGGGAGGGAGGGAGGTTTATGTGAAGATGTGAAGGGGCTTGGTGTTTCTAATGATGCTAGGTTCTCTCTATATAGATAAAGTTTGAAGGGTGTCGAAGATTTCTTAGAACCCAAACAAAGAAAATTATAAGGAATATTTATGTATTAAATCAACAGGCTTATGAGCTTAATTAATAATTGATTAAGACTGAAAATTTGAGAAGTTGTCAAAGTGGAAGAGAAGTTTCCGATGGCGGCCTAGTTTGTCGACTGGAAGAAGGTTCCATAATATTAAAATAAAATAAAAAATAAAAAATAAAACGTGAAGAGTGGGGTGTAGTTGCCAATTGCCACGTTAAATTATTTTCAATAAAATCGGATTTTTCTTTGGGTTTACCTAGGCTTTGCCAAAGTCAACACATACTAGATATATACTACCGGCACAAAGAATCATTCAGGTTTTGATCTGTTTATGGATATATCTGTTTATGGATATAATCACCTTTCAAATCCTACCATTTGATGACAACAAAAAACCGTAGAGTACGGTAATCATGAGACGTTGATTCGAATGGGTGCCAATCGAATTCAAGGCCTGTTGATTTTTAGTTGTATCATAAAATCAATAAATTACAAGAATTTTATGTAATTAAAGATGTTAATCTAAATGGGTGTCAATCAAATTCAAAACGTTGATATGTAGTTGTGTCACAACAAGTTATATAAATTTTTAATAATTATGAGATTTTGATTCACTTTGATGCCAATCAAATTTAGAATCCGGTAATAGTTGTACCGCAAAATTATATTATATTTATAACTCAGGATTGTAGTTTAGTGGCAGATGTATCCTTGTACAACACAATCATATTTTGCTAAAAGTTATATTAACTAAACTTGATTAAAGTTTATTTTTTTTCCCTTTTGTAGAGTTCCAATAGACTTGTACTAAATTCTACTAAATTCAACACGGTGTGCAAAATTCAAAAGGGGCAGTTGTAATTCTAGAGGAGTGACACGTGGAAAGAAGTTGTTTTGAGCTCCCCCAGAGTCAACCTCTCCCCTTCATTATCATTAAGCCGTCTCTTAATTAAATAATGGCCACAAACCATAGAAGAAAGAAACCGAGTAAGGCATTTTCCAAAGGTTTAAGCCAAAACAAAAGGCAGATGTCAACATATGGACAAAGATGTATTATGTGTACTTTTTTTTTTTTTTTTCCTTTGAAAAGTGAATAACTGGTGACGAATCACGATTATTCATTATTTTTAGATTCAGCGGAGGTTAGTTGAGAATTTCATTGATCCACAACTTACAAAGTATCGAATCTAGGATCTTCAATTTTTTCTTTAGCGAGCTATGGTTCGCACTTTTCCCCATGGCCACTTATCGGGGTTAAGATGTATACTTATGGAGAAAAAAAAACTTTAAAAAAATCTTTCGTAGTGGCGTTTTCAGATTCATAAAGCTAATATGTGAAATAAAGCTTTGTTGTTGTTGTATTAGTTTTCTCATGCTTGAAAAATTTTGCACGCACAAAGGTTGAAAATGTGCATGAATTTCTTCTTCTTTTTTTTTTCTTTTTTTTTTAATGTGAAATATAGAAACAAGACACAAATATAATTGTGCCTAAAACCATTTGTGCGATACTATTTTTATTGAGAAGTGTTATTGGCACACTAAAAATCTCATTTTACACTCCACACAAATGTATTTTTCTTTCCTAATATAGAAAATTTGGAGTGTAGAATGAGATTTTTGGAATGCTAATAGCAATTCCCTTTTTATTTGACCAAGTTAAAGAGCATGACATGGTGTAATACGAATACAATCAGCTTGCGTCGTGAGATGTTAGGTCAAGTTAATATCCTCGAGTTAAATTAATATTTGGGGTGGTTGAACATGAAATAGCTAAATTCATATCCTTGAGTTGTTACAAAACCATTGTCAATATTAAATCTTTTCGAAAAATATAGTTTAATGAAGTTAAGTTACATGCAGTCATGCATGATCCTCGCGTCACTTGGAGATATATTATTTTGTCTAACATGGTTGGCTTAATCCTAAGAATATAGAAGAGAACAACAAATGGATGACGAAATTGTAAGTCAAACTCTCATAAATTATAGGCCCGAGTCCAACTTCCAATTGCTTTGATTTGAATTATTCGGCGGATGTTTTACATATTATATTATAGGGTATATTATCAATTTCCCCCCTGAACTTGTGACCATTAGCCAATTCCCCCCCTCAACTTTAATTTTGGCCAATTTCCCCCCCCGAACTCTCATGATTAGTCAATTTCCCCCCTCAACTTTAATTTAGCCAATTTCCCCCCTCAACTCTTATAATTAGTCAATTTGCACCCTACTGTTAAATTTTTAATTTGATCATAATTAAACAAGTGTGTGTAAGAAACTAAATAAGATGTATGTTAATCATGTTCCTATATCTTTATCCTATTACAAATAGATTAAAATTTATAATTTTACAATTTATCATGGAGTAATTTTATTTGATTTTTGACTATACAAAATTGATAACAAAAAGGATTGATGTGTAAATTTTTGTATGTGAATACAATTTTCTTTATAAAAGTGAAAGCTAAGTTCAAGTAAATTGCAGAGAATCGAGCTTTAGTAAAAAAACGGCTAGTCTATTCATAATTTTCGACTCCTTATTAAGAATAACCCATTTTATTGAAATAGGTTTGATCCATGAGTTTAGGATTATTATTTCTTTTTGTTATTATTTCTTCTTCTACATGCTTTAAACCCGATTCATAACTTTTTCTTATAATCAACCCATGTCACATACTAACTGTATTATGTTTTTGTAGGGTGGAAAATTAAAATAAAAAAAAAATTAACAGTAGGGTGCAAATTGACTAATTTTGAGAGTTGAGGGGGGAAATTGGCCAAATTAAAGTTCAGGGGGGGAATTGACTAATTATGAGAGTTGAGGGGGGAAATTGGCCAAAATTAAAGTTCAGGGGGGAAATTGGCCAATGGTCACAAGTTCAGGGGGGAAATTGATAATATACCCTATATTATAAACCAAACCACATCACTAGTAGAGTTTACGTTTCTGAATTCAATAAGCATGGGATTATGCTAATTAATTGAATTGACACTTGTTCTTATCAACTAGAGAGGTTCTTTTGGGTAGTTGGTGATGTATGAATATAGAAAACGATAAATCTGGTTATTAATCTCTTTCCAACAGGCGATGGCTAGTTTGCTAGTTCATTAATTTCCAATTAATTAATTTAGACCAACTTAATGCGTTCCATTTGGCAAGGGCTTTTGTTAAAAGGATTTATTAGAAGCACGATGAAATTTTTATTAAAAATCTAATTGATATTGAAAAAACAGTTGGAAGTGCTTTTTTAAGGCTATAGGTATAGTTAGAGGAAAACAATGAAAGACGATGAAATCAAAAGTTAAATTAACAAGCGGAACTGGACGGTGAAGCGAGGAGACTCAAAACGACGTCGTTGTGAATAAGTAATTTTCCAACATCCCTGTTGTCATATCTCATTTGCCCTAATAAAAAATCATCTTGAAAATCTTCATCTCTCTTTTAAGTAAAAAGAATTCAAACTCAAAATTTATAGTACAAAATATATACTTTTAATCAATTAAACTACAAGTTTATTGTCTCTCTTTCAACTATGAACTATGTACCACGTTTGAATAACTATTTATTTTTATTTGGCGTGGGTGAAGAGCTAATAGCCACGTTAATTATTAATATCCTTTGAGTTCTTAAAACCATAATATATAGTTAGTTAAAAAATAGTTTAATGATGCCTGGCCTAAATCCTAAATCTTCTGCACCAAAAATTCTCTGTGGTCTCTCTACAACTTATCTCATTTGTTGACATCTGATCATTCATTTAAATCTTACTTAATAGAGTACAGAAAGGTCACAAAAAATTTTGAGCATAGAAGATTTGAACTCGCATGATCCTACATCAGATGTAAAAATATTATTTTGTCGAAGAATGTACAGGTACTTGTTCCCTGTGAGAAGAGGAAAGTTGATGACATAAAGTCAAGCACTCATAAATTATAGACCAAACCACATAATTAAATTGCTCATTATTAAAGTTCATGTTTTTTTTAATTCACTAAGCATGCTTATGCTAATTGATTAACGGACAACTGTTCAAAATAAGCGGAGAGATTCTTATTTGTACCTGATATATATCCATTTATATCTATTTTTTATATCGTAACGAAAGATATTGATACGAAAAATCGTTTTATTAGAGATGTAACTGGTCGAAAGCTAAGCAGTGGTAATTTTTGAGATACTGATATATATATATATATATATATCCATTCATATTTATTCACATTTATTTGATGATCATAGACGAATTGAAAGCTAAGTAGTGGTAATTCTAATGGGACAAGAGATGTAAATATAAAGTAATATTATCCAGTTATATGCAAGATCTCTTCAACTTGTGGCAACTCATTTCCAATTTGGATCAAATTAATGTGTTTCGTTTGGAAGCATTTTTGTTTATAAGAGTTTTTTTTTTTTTTGTTAAAAGTCGTTTTATTACTTTTTTTTTTAAGACGAACAAGATCTTTTTAAGTTTTATTTCCAAACGTATTCTTAAGTAATTTTTTTTTAAACAAACGATATTATTCAGGATGGACTAAGTCTCACAATGGAATATTAATAATATGATTCAAATTCGTTTTTTACAAGAATTGCACTTAAAACATGTCACTTACAAGTGAAGGAAAATATCACTAAATCGTAATACTAAGTGTTTTAAGTTGGTAAAAACCGCTTTTAGCAATTTTAGAAGTACTTGCAAATATACCTATTAATTAACGGATTAAACCTTGAGAAACAAAAACTGAGTTTTCTAGTTTTGTGCTCCACCTACTTTTGGGCCCATATGTGAGGCCTATTTGGAGAAGATCATCCTACCTAAGCAGGCCAAGCCGAATTGAACCCACCCATACTCTAACCCGTAAGCCCAACACCCGTTTATCATTTCTCATCATTCGCTTAAACCTTCGAACCCTTTTCTTCTCTCTCCTCCTCTCACTCCTCAGTCCGGCGCAACACGGCTGATTCAATCGAGCAACCAGGTACGTCCTCTCTCTCTCTCTCTCTCTCTCTCTCTCTCTCTCTCTCTCTCCCTTTTCTTCGTACATTTGATTTTAATATGTAGTTTGAATGGATCAAAGGTTTTGGTCTGATGGTGGAAAAGATCAATTTTTTTGGTTTTTTTGAAGATTTATTTCCTGTAATTTTAGTTACAGATTGTTTTAGTTTCATTGAATTTCTGGGTTGCTGTTTTAACTTTTTCTGGGTTTATTGAATGTGTAATTCTGTATGCTTTTTACACAGAAAGATTGGGGTTTTTTGTTGTTCTTTTCCCTTTTGAAGATGCAATTTTAGCCTGTGATTATTAATTAGGTTTTAAAAATTGGGAATTAGAAGCGAAAAAACAAAGTGTGAATCTTTTGATGGTTTTTTATTTATTTATTTAGTTTTGGAGGAATTTCAGCTTGTAGAAGTAGTTTAATTGTAGCTAGATGTTTCCCTAGTTCGAGTTCTGCTTAAATTTGATCCCGAATATTTGTATTTGGCTGTTGAAGTTGTAAAGTTTGAGCACAATACTGTCAAATTTTAGTCTTTAGAAACAAGAAACGGGTTTTGTAAAACTTGTAAAACTAATTGCTTTGTGTTTTGTAACAAACGCAAATTTTTGGAATGTTACGTTATGGGGCTATCCATTGAAAGTTTGAATCCGAAGTAAGATCTTTCCGTATCTTATGAGTAGGAGTATACTAATGTTGTATTCGGGGCAAAATAATGTTCAAGTGAAAGCTTAGTTTCTTCTTTCGATTTGGGAATTGAAAACTTAGTTGAGTTGAGTAATGATGGTACTTCTTGTTTGTGTGTACTGCTGATTTTTCATTTGGGCGGTTGGATGGGGTGAAATGTGTGAATAATGTTCTTTCGCCCTTTGATAATCTGCATCTGTTTCTTTGTTTACCATAGTGACAGGCAATTTAAGTTAATTGTAGAAGCAAGACTTCCACTGTATCCTGCTGAGGAGCTTAGTGGGTTTCAGAAAATGATACGAATCTTAAAGATTAAACCTGTGACGTCTTTCATTGAGTCTTCTTCAGGCCATAACTTCCTTCAGAGATGCTCTGTAAGTGGGACGGCAAAGGGTAAATCAAAGACAAAAGCTGCGGGACCACTGAAGCGGTCAAAGATAACTGTAAAAAGGGGTTCTGCAGCTCCTGCTGCTAAAGGTGGAGGAGGTCACATAAGTCCAGCGGAAAAGTTATATGATTCGTGCTTAAATGCCCCAACGCCGGTTAGGTGGTTACCACCAGTACAAAGAAAACGTGAAATAAAGCGAGAGAAGATGGGACTGATTAGCAAAGAGCGACAGCGTGAGATTGAGATGCTGAAGAAAGATAAGGGAAAATTGGGAATCCCAGAAAAACCAACAATTATTGGAACACCTGGTTTGGATTTGATATCACTAGGTTTGGTTGATGTGGAGAAGATACCAAAATATAACCTGACTGTTGAAGACGGTAGAAAGCTTGCAAAGGAGTATAGCAGGGTCTTGATGAGGCGTCACCGTGCAAGGCAGGCAGCAGAGTCCACACTGTTGCGGTTGAAGAAGGAGGCGATTGAGGCATTGCCTGAACATTTGAAAGCAGCAGCATTGGTTCCAGATCTTACCCCGTTCCCAGTAAACCGGTTCATGGCAACTCTGACTCCTCCAATTGAAGGTTATATTGAGAAGGTTAAGGAAGCTGCAAGAAAGAGCAGTGCGAAGGAGAAGCTCAGATAACTGGAGGTTGATTTTTTTTTTACTTTTGGCTCCTAATAGTTTACTTCCCTGCTAAATTTTTTTCCTCTCACTTCTTGGATGATAACTTCTTTTCGGAGATTTGATTGATAAGTTGCGAATCTAGCTTTGAAATAGTTTACCTCTCACGTGCACCAAAACAATCTGCATTTTTTAAATAAGCTTGAGACTTAGCCTGTAGAAAGAAAAGCCATGCGGCATTCACTAGGCTCCGTGCCTCTGCTTGCTTAGTTTTGCCGGTTTTCCTTCTTTTTTCGCGTTTGATATGATTTCATGTTTCTTATGCAGATTGCGTTATGCTTGCGAGGTAGGAGATCGTTTGTTATCAGACAACCAGCGCTTACTGAAGTCGGAAGAGAGCTAGTATTTGAATTCACGAAGTCAGCGTGTTGGTGAGGAAGCGATGAAATAGTATTGCGGAATTAGATCTAGTGCTTCGGTTTTGGTTATTAGCAATAATCTGTTTGAATGCTTTCGGAAATTCAATGTCGGATAAGTTTAGTATTTTGACCTAAATTTTTGAGTTTTACATGTTTGCATGGTTTCATGATATATATTGAACGCATTAGAAACTTTCTGTGCAAGTTCCAAGTCTTTTAAGATTGTGTAAGGTGTTATGTTAGCAATGCTGCAATGGCCGGTTCGGTAAGCAATCAACGACGGCCCTGATGGCGATGACAGCCTGATGGGATTTAGGACTCGTTGAGATTGCTTTTGTAAGAAGCACTTATGCTCGTTTTTTTTAAATAAAAATCATGGTGTTTCTTGCAGAAGAACTTGGAAGTGCTCCTTGAAGAAGTATTTGACATGTGCTTCTTTAGAAAGTGCTTCTATAACCCTAAGATACTTCTGACTTTTAAACTGTCAAACGAGTCATAAGTGTTTTTGGTTGTCAAACAAATCTCAGAACGGGCCCTTAGAAGATCTGAAAAATCATGAACTAATAAAGGACCCGTGAAATATTGAAGTGAAATGGTATCACACACCATTTTTTTCCTCTTACATACATGTCCCTCCTATCTTTTTTATTTTTAGTTGTTGGATTGAATAAATCAAATGAAAACAACAGACACGGTTAAACATAGATGTGAGGGAGAGAAAAGCCGTGTAGTTATCATTTTCTTGAGTTCCAAATTTTGAAGTTTATAAAAATGTGATTGGTTAGAGGAAATAAGGGATTAATAAGTCCATTGATGCCTTGACTTGATGCAGCCTCCTCCAAAAAAACCAAATTCTAAGCAGTTGACATTTTTATTACTTTAACAAGGGAGGAAATTAAGAATCTTTGCCTATCCATATGAGGGTGGCAAATGGCTTTCTCAGAGAAGCCTCTGCTGGCCAAAGTGATTAAATATTCAGCATAAAGATGACCATTCCGGAAAAGCACTTTGAGAAAAAGCCATGCAGACTGTTGACGGTTGTTTTTAATATACCAACCATCCACACAGTCAACTAATCTTAATCATATTTTATTTACACAAGTAAGATCATCATACATACATATATATATATATGTATGTATATGTATATGTACATAAATACTCCTACGTGTAAAGTGTAACACTACATTTTTCCTGTGGTGTTATAAACGTTTAGTGACAGTTGAAGATGGGGAAGGCAAGCAGATGGATCATAAATTTCTTGGTTGGAAAGCAAGAAAAAAAGATTAACGATGCTCCGAAAACTAAGGTTTCGAATGAGTCTTCATCTACCACTTCTGCCAGGCCGTCGGTGAACTGGCCAGGGACGCCGAAAGTGAAGAGAAGGTGGAGCTTTGGAAAGTTGGCAGGCAAAGAGGCTTCCCACAGGGTTACAAGATCTGTTGATTCAATTGACATCTCTAAGTTGTCACTGAAAGTTCGGAAGAATCATGCCGTGGCACCAAGAGATGTCGAAAATGCTGCTGCCACAAGGATTCAAGCTGCCTTCCGTTCGCATCTGGTACAAATTTCCATCCAAAACTCTATGACATGTTCACGAATCCTTAAACGATTATTTTCAGTATCATTCATAATCCGATTCTAGATGATTTAGTTAGCATCTTGAATGGGAGTTCCGATTCTGACTCCTCGTCAATTCAATTCTTCCGCATGCAATGACATATTAGTAAACATGTTATAAGAAGTTGAACATCAGAGAGTACGCTAACAAACATACGAACAAACTATGAAAAATATTATTGACTCGAAAGCCTAAACCCACAAGAAAACCAAACAAGAAAACAAACCTAAAATACTAATATTTTCCAACATAAGATTCTTAACTCGAAATCTATTTATCTTGGTAGTCATATTGCTTATGTTGTTTTCAGGCAAGGAAGGCTTTACATGCCTTGAAGGGTTTGGTGAAGTTGCAAGCACTCATAAGAGGTCACATTGTGAGGAAACAAACAACTGCTACGATAATGCAGATGCAGGCGTTGATGGCGATCCAGGTTAGAGCGCGGTTTAAGCGAATTCAGATGGTGGAAGAAGCACAGATAGCTAATAAAAAGCAGCTGATCATTCGAAGAGGCCACCCTCAGTACAGTGGAGTTCATAGGGTAAGTCTCCTCATTCAATCCGAAATGTTTCCTATTCACTAGTTTTTGTTTTGATTTATCTTAGCTTACGAAACCCGAGTGAATATTGCATCAAAAACCCAATTCAGCCTGATACAAACACTCGGGTTCGAAACCCAATTCAGCCTGATACAAACACTCGGGTTTCGAAATCTGAGCTCCTCAAGAAAGCATTTTCTGATAACAACCAAACATGAAGTGATCGTGGTTCAAAAAATGTACCATGCTTACAATGTGGTCTTGTTTATGCAGAAGTCAATAGTTTTGAACACGAATGATGTTCAACGAGTTGCGAAAAGCACGAGTGGACACCTTAATCATTCACAAGCTGTAGGGAGGTTTGAGCATGGCTATTCAACAGTCTATTCTGATCGTCATTCCATCTCAAACCGGCATCACTACGAGGAATCCTCTTTTGCAACAGTAAATAGTCCCCGGAATTATCCTGCTGCATCCAAACCAAAACCAAGAAGACACTCTTTCGCTCATCAACCCCAAGATGACACAGACTACGAGGACTTCGCATTCAAGCCAAATTACATGACCAACACGAAATCTTCCAAGGCGAAAGCTAGGTCACAGAGTGAACCAAAGCAGAGGCCTGAAGGAAGCTTGCAGAATAGAAGCAAGCAAACGGAAGTGGATGCAACACTAGTTGCGATGGAGGATCAAGTGCTGAAACGTTCATCTACGCAGTTCAAACCCAACGGTCAGAAAAGCCATGATCCCTGGTTTGTTAAGCTCTACAGATCAAGAAGATTGTCCGAGGACAACAAGCATGCTTCCGTTAGCTCGAGTACTGTCCATTCTTACTATCAAGAATCTCTTGCTGCATATGAGGTAAGACTTTATCCTAATGGCCTGAGCTCTGCAGGTTTTTATTGTCGATTTCTGCATTTTTCGTATTTGTCTAATTTGTTGAATATTTGATTTGCAGCCTCATGTGAATTTGTACTAACAGAAGGGGATGCTGAAGAGCTCTTCCAGACTGATATAGAGCATGCAGAGTCCTACACATCAATGTATATCAAAATGTAAACGTTTTAAGTGGCTCAAGTTCACCCGTTAAAATATGATGGATTCTTCAACGCACATTGATGTACTCTAGAATTTTCGTAGCATGCATTTGCACTACTCAAAAGAACTTTCTTATGAAAGATACTAATAACTAATTGTACTTGTTCATGACGTTCAGTGCCATTTGAGGACAATAATTGTATCAAATACCATCATTTGAAAAATTTCGAACCATTTCTTGAGAGAGAGAGAGAGAGAGAGAGAGAGAGAGAGAGAGAGAGAGAGAATATTAATCCATTACAATTTGCAAACTAAGTTGAATTCATGGTGATAACCAATTCCTCTTCTGAGATCATAACCTGCAAAATAAGGATCTACCTAGGAGCCTAATTCCTCTTGAGAAGAATGATAATCGGAAACCCGTAACTACAAAAATTATTCGAGTTGGAAATATAATACATGTTGCTAACGCTCATTGGAATTGATCATCCTGGTTGACAGTATTTTGCTTGATGCTCTTAGTCAACCAAATAGCAGTTTCCCTAGGAGAGACCTTCCCTGGCCCAAAAGGCTTCAGCAACACCCCAAGCTCGTCATATCGTTCATTCTGAAGCAATCTTGCACTGAATTCGAGTAGCCCTTCTAAAGCTTCAGCCCTTTGCTGGAATGATGAAGTGTCAAACTGCCGGCGGCGTGTGTTTGATGAGGTCTGGCTCGATGCTCCAGCAGTTGCATTTTGATCCGAAAAGCCATCACTTTGATTGTCTGGTGCAGCTTTGAACATGCCAGGTTCTATTCCCTGCCATGCACCGGTGAAACTAAGTTTGCGAGAGGCTCTGTCGTTTGTCTGAACTGTGCATTTGTCTTTCATCATTGAACGGTCACCGTAGTGTGGGGAACCAGACGAGCCTTGCACAGAGGGTGATGAGGTTCTATGGATACGCAGAAACTGTTCTTCGTATAATTGTTCTTCATATGAGGCTAATGGAAATTCAGCTATCCTGTCAATTCGAGGGGAATTGACAGAAACATCGGGAGATTTAATACAGTGAAGAACACCAACATTGGGCCAGAAAGGGGACTGTTGAGTTGCAGCTCTTGCTAATGGCAATGATGCTCTGCGAGTTGTACTCACTGTCTTCAGCGGAGTGCGTGAAACAGGAAGCTGGAAAGATGAATTTTATAAACTCAAACTATTAGACTAGCAAAAAACTAGCCGTCTAGAAACTAAAATATTTTGCCAAAGTATAGCTAGTGCTTTTATGCAGCTAAAGTTTGTTTGAGATAAACTTGTACTTTTTGTTTGAGAGAGAGCGAGAGAGAGAGAAATATCTTACCGATGCACGATTCTTTGGCTCCATAAATCTCTTGGGAGTGGCAGTAGCTTTTCCTTGAGTAACTCGACTGTTGACGATATTTGAAGTTTTGGAAGCAACTGGTTGCTTGCGTATGGCTGCTTTTCTATAGGTGCCAGTGCCACCAACAGAATCTCCTGCCAATTCTCGATTCAGATAATTTGGCCTGCCATGCATTTCTTGGGTAGAGCTTAAGGAATCTTGCTCACCTCCAGATATGCTAGGATTTAAAGTCCTATCATTGCTGTATGTATGCCGCTTCTCCTGGTAATGGGGAGTGGAGAAAGGAACATCTTCTGGCTCTGAAAATTTTGTTTTCTTCAAGTAACCGGTGTCAGGCCAGTTGACCGCTAAAGTTCCATGTCTGGGGTTACTGAGTTTGAGATGAACCTTGTGAACATGAGGCTGAAGGACTGGGTGAGCAAGCAGCTCGGCAGCCTGTCACAATAGAAACACTTCAAATGAGATGAAAATTTCAAAAGATGTGAATTGTCACAATTCCGAGGAAATCTGATTCTGCAGGAATCGGACTAACCCGAAAGATATGCTTTTTATATAGATTGTATGAAACCAGTCATACCAGGCAACACTGAATTGATAATATGTATTCAAAATGTTCTACAATGCTTTCGAATTCATAAGCGGAAATTACAAAATGATTTTCAATCAAATAAACCACACTGCAGCAGAGGAGAAGTATACGTACACTAGGCCTGAGTTCTGGGTTTTTCCGAAGCATGCTTTTAATAAGTGTTCGGCTGAAAATAGAAATACGGAAAGTGATTAGATGAGTAATATTCACTTATGAGAGGCAACTTAAACACATCCGCCTAGAAACACGAGGTAAAAGAAATTCGGGCTATTAAAGCATCCGTTAGTTTTGTCACTTGATCTTATCCTTGCACAATTCAAAATGTTGCACAAATTTGTAATGATCTTATGCAGTAAGGAAGGCAGCTAAACGTGCAATGGACATTGAATAGCCACCAAAGCCAAACGAAAAACCAGATAAGGACTCACAATGCACCAGTGTACTTTGTGGGAAGGGGAGCCACTATGGACCTGTTAATTTTGTTAATCAGTGCTTGTATATCCTGTTTAAGAAACAGAAAAGAAATACGTAAGGCAAAAAATAGCTTGCGAGAGAAAAAGGAAACAATTTATAAATGCAGAGGAATATAAAACATTTTCTTTAAAAGGAAACTGATTAAGGAAACACACACAAAGGAGGTAAAGCAATGCATCTCTAGATATCTGAAATATGAGAAATACAAAACTTACAAACGCTTTAAAGGCGGCCCTATGAGAAGCCATTTCATAGATGCAGCATCCTGGATCAGATATGTTCAGTACAATACATATTGCAGCCAAAGAAGAACAATAATCGATGACAAAAAATTCACACATATTCAGTGCTTACCTAAGGACCAAATATCTGATTTTGAACCATAAGGTATATCAGCAAGAAGCTCAGGACACATATAGCTAGGAGTTCCGACAACCTTAATCAAGAGATAATGATTCTTAATATAGATAGCTTCAAGATGCTGTGAATATGAACTTCAGAAAAGGACCACAGTTACTTACAGAAGAGGCAAGATCATCTGAAGTCAACTTTTTGGCAAGTCCAAAGTCACCTGCTCCAACGTTTATCAATTGTTCAGAAAAATTACACTCCGCTTATGGAGAACTGTAAAAGATAATAGGATCACTTACCAAGGCGTATGTCTTGATCCTTTGTCAAGAATATATTAGAACACTGTAACAACCATGGACCACTATTAGTACAAATTAGCTTCAGGGAATTTGAAAGAAGATAGCAACACCCATCTTTCCAGAGTGCACAGGATGAAAAATGTCAGTAACCTTGACATCGCGATGAAGAATATGATTCCTGTGCAAGTAGTCGAGCGCCATCAGAAGCTGGACAAGCCACTTACAGAGCTTCTGAAAAAAGTTGATTTCCATATTAGATGATAGGAGGCGAACTTATCGTTACGTAATGCATAAAAGTGACTATGTGACAGGAATGTGTTTTTAAGAAGAAAAAAAAAACAATTTTGCAGGAGGAGAAAACAAAGAGAAAAACAAGAATTGAAGTAACTTCAAACCTCTTCAGGGAAGAGTAGACCATTGGCCTTTTTTATAGCTTCTGCCCTGAATCACACAGAAACACAGAATGAGTGACTGGCAAATGATATGCAAGCCTTCAAGTCAAAGCAAATGAATCTACACATTACACATATATAAATATAAGAATTTTAGCATGATACAAAACTTACATGTCTCCGCCTGCACAATAACCTATAATAATGCACACATAGCAACCCTGAAAACAAGGGGTATGAACCAAGTTTAGGCCGTATCAACTAGCTAGGCTACCATAACTCCAATGTATCCAACCGGGAATTAATAAACAAATGCAGCAATATATCGCATACAGAAGAAAAGGAAAAGTGCACCACCGAGCACAAATACACTAGATACAGTTGTGGTCAAATGTACCTTTTCCACCCAAGAATCTTTGTACTCCACAATAAATGGATTTTTGAATTTGGAAATGAGTTCCATCTACACAAACGAGGAAAGTTGTCAATCTGGAGGTATCCAATATACATAATAAAGCCTGCAGCAAACTCCATTTTTTTATTTCCATAAAGTCGTCTAGAAAATGAATGAGATTTATTGTATATGGAAGATTATCAATTGAAGCCCGAAAAGAAATGGAAGATTAGCTGCACACACAAGTAATGTATTTAGTTTACTTCCTTGAGACAAAATATTGACAAAGAATACTAACCTCCTGGTGTGCGGATCTCCGTGATCTCTCAGTCTGGCGGGCAAGGCGAATCTTTTTCAACACGTACCTTAATATATCAAAGAAGCAAAATTAAATCTGCCCCAAAATTCGCATCACCATACAATAAGTAACAGTGGACCAGCTCATGTTCCCATGAAAGTAAAAATGGATAGAGGTAAAGAAAAAGGAAAAGTAAAATCCAGTCTTACTTCTTCTTTTCATGCTTATGCCTGACAAGAAGCGCGGAACCAAAAGCCCCCTTCCCAATTTGCTCAAGAACTTCATATTGCTCCATGTTTTAGACTAAAAACTTTTCACCGAATGAAGAACAAAATGGTTTTAATCTCATATACATTCACAATAGCGAAACCAATTCCTTTTTATTCTCGGAATGTACTTTGACACGAATCAAACGTAGCATTTCGGCAGCAAGGGAAAGCTCCACCATATGTGAAGTTAGTCAAGATTTGCATAGCTCGGAAAATTGCAGTTCTATTTTTCTTGAGAAACAAACAAAATAAACGCAATACCAAAACAATACCTTATTTTTCACTCAAGAAAATTGATAAGCCCTTGAAAGCAAAATGTGGTCAGCAATAGTTACCCTTTCAACTACTTTCAGTACAAAATTCAAGTCGACAACCCGAATTCTGCTTTCTTTTTAAATGAATGCCCGGTTCTTTAATGTTGAAAATCAAATGCGGTAAAAAGCAGCTGAAATTACATAAACATTTTACCAAAAAGAAGTAAAAATTTGAACTTTGTGTCCAAATTATCAAATTAGTTCAGCCAAATGGTGAATTTATGCTCAAAACCAGATCCCAACAGTAAGAAAAACCATGAATAGCACAATATAATTTCTCTAGCTTTCTCACATTTTCTCAGCAACCAAACAATGTAATATACACAGTAAAAACTAAGTTCAGAGAAAGGAAAAAAACCGAGTAAAAGTGATAAAAATTAAGCAAATTGCTTCACAGAAAATGGAAAATGCAACTCAAAACTAAAAACCCAAAGTCAAAATTTGCACT